AAGGTTGATCTGCTATATGTATATATATATATTTACCAGTATGTATCTTACCTTTTTATCATATTGTAGTTGATATATCTCTATGACAACCATCTAGTTATCCTATCTCCTTCTAGTATATTGAAGAAGAAAATTAAGAAAATCTGTCGGTAGTTTTAGTTTACCGTTTTGTATATAGAAAATGTGTATTCACACCCCCTCTCACTGATATCGCCAAGAATGTTGGGGGAGGGGGGCGTGGGTCAATGAATCATTATGAACTGTACTCTTCAGATGCATTAACATATTCTTAAGATGCAGTGTAATTTAATAAAATCACAAGCTAAAGTATTAAACACAAGTTTAATTTAATACAATATTCAGATCTTGTTCGGTTGGCCGTTTTTAATCAGAAAGTCTGCTTTCAACAACTTTTGAGAGAGAGAGAGAGAGAGAGAGAGAGAAAACCCCATGAGGTTAGGCACCTGTAAGTGTTAAATGAAACCACATCACTTTCCTCAATGACAGACCATATTTATATTTTTGAGAGAGAATTCAAACTGCCAAGGATTATCTATATGCACTACTTATTTCTAATAGCGATATTTTGTCTTCTCATCTGAAACAACATTTAGATTTAATTAATACATTAAAATATTAGATCACTGCCAGAATTCATTATAATGCTATAATATGCCATTATATCATAGATTAGTTACTGTATTATGTTTATATACACACTAGTATATTATATAAGTATTTAATTATAACATATTACATAACGCACCAATTATATATACATCTGGAGTATATTAGCCAGTAATACATGCATAATACCCGTAAATATAATTACTGACCTGGTATATATCATCATATAGTCATAATAACCAGATTACAGTTTTATCTTCATTTAAACATACATTATGCAACAGCTAAATCTGCCTATTGCAGGTCTTTCTTTAGGCCTGAAATGTTTTATAAACTATTAATTAGACATTTATTAACATGTAAATACCTTAATCAACTCTCGATGCCGTCTTAACTGTCAGATTTTCACTGGATTTGAATCCAGTTTGCTGCTCAACTCTCATTGATGATTTAATCCAAAAATGGATAATCGAGACTATGTTTTTTATTGTACTGACTTTAGTAATGATGATCGAGGCTCTGACCTTGGCTTGCCTACAATATCACTGTCAGTGGAAGTGAACCTTCACGCCACTTATCCAAAAGGAAAACATTATCCTGGTCTAGAGGTCTCTAAAAATTGTATTACTGTAATAGTCTGTTAAAGGCCAAACCACTTAAAAACTTTGCTTCTTGATAAAAATGCTGACTCTGAAATGACCTTTGTGCTTTGGGTAGACAAGGTCATGAAGTTCTATTAATTTCAAGGACAAATATATTGGATTGAGTAGCCCTACACCACGATTAACATTGTTATTCTAAATGATCTCAATTACACAGTAAATGACTGGCCTTTGAATTTTATATTAGAATCATTGTATGGTCAGAAGTTAATATCAGTGGGGATTGTAACATCTTATCAATTCTGTATTTGTTCCTGTTTGTGATATTGAATCTATTTATTTGATTGAGTTAATCTCTGCACATCTTACAATATTTGGCTTGGATTTATACACAACTACTATAAAATTCACTTCTGCAATTTATCAGAACAATCTTTTGGTATAAATATATTTCTGAAGCCAGCCACAGTACCCATAGGCGTACGGGGAAATTTTTGACTGGGGGTGGTGGTGGTGGTTGGTGCCCAAAAAATGTAATTAGGTTCTTAGTATGTTACATAATAATAATAAATTCGCTGTTAAATTAGACACATTCAAGAACACAATATTTTTTTTATACAACTTTTACAAAGTACAATTGTGTGCCCAAATTTTCCCAGCATTTGGTGCCCAAAATGGGGGGGGGGAACGGTCCAGCTCGTACGCCTATGACAGTACCATGGGATGAACCAATTTCCTCGCTTTTTAGGAATGAATATCACCAGTGAATGTACACCTAAACCAGTGGCGGTGCCAAAGGATGATGGGTACCCAAAAATTAATGTACATCCAAACCAATTTTCCTCCGTTTTGAGCAATGCCAAGATGCAATTATAGCTGTTGATTGTCTCTTTATCCAGGATATATACTCCCGAAAATCCCTGTTGGACAAATTCCTGGCGCTGTTACTTCCTACACCAAACATATAGTAGTGCAGCAGTGCTAGAGGGCTTGAGCAACTCTCACCCCACTTAGTTGTAAAAAATTTCAAGATTATTGAATTGGGAAATGACAGTATGACAATGACAAGTTGAAATGAATCAAAAGTGTCACCATAGTATGACATTTTAAACAATATCATTATGTATTTCTATCCTCCAAGATAATATTTTTGTGTAAATATCCAAGACCAGTCTTTGAAATGAGGAATTGCTCTCCCTATCTATGATAAAGAACTAGTATGTTTAAGACTATGGTTTGCCGGCTGGTAAGAATATTGTTACTATGCGTTGATTGAATCAGTCTAAGAAGATAATTCTGTTAACTAGGTTCACTTATTGATTTACTAACCACAATGATATTGATGTTGACTGGTTCTAATTGACCTTTCTCTGCAACCTTGACCTTTCAGGTTTGAATGTTATTAAAAATAGGGAGTAGTACTGATAAAATGTACCCGATATAAAGACAGTACATTTGACAACGGATTACTGTTGTGTTGTAAATTGTCAGATATGTTGTTTACTGTAATCGTAGAACTCCATAAAAAATTATTGCTCAAAATATTGATTTGCTAACATCTTAAGAATGGTATTCTATTTAAGGATGTATATATGTTAATATACAACTGGTATTTGAGGGTGGTTTATAATAGAAAAGAGAAAAATTTGTGAGAAAGCCTATAATTTATATATTCATTAATCTTTGAAATGGAAAGGAGCATTTAAAATCCCAAATGGACATTTGTGAGGGATTACAACTTAACACTCTCAAGTTGCAATCAGTACTTTGTTTGTGATATTACTTCAGTGGAAGCGCATTATAATAAAGCTATTTCACACACACACACACACACTGCTTTAAATCATAATTATGAATATTATTTTTGTTTTGAGATTTTGCTCCATTAGTTTATCCTTCCAACATCTTTATGTGTACTGATCATGTACACAAATATGATAGAATGTTTGAATAAACGCCAGAGAATTTTAGGTTTATGTTCTGTGTGCATGTTCTATTAATGCCTGGCATCTTTACAAGTACTATATGGTTAATGATCTTTCATCCCTAGTACAAAATAGTTTTCATTACAATCTTGATTGGGAATTTAAGAGAAAATAACAGAATAATGTGGCTGTAGACTATAATCCTTTACGCATGTTTTATTTCGAGCTCTAGATAGTTTCTTTTACATTTTTAAAACAGAAATATCTTGATTCTTGAGTTTTATTAATTAAAAACATGCATTGCCGAATTAAAAATAGTTAAGTAAAGCATTCTGATTTTGAATATGGGGTACATAATGTGATTTTGTATTGGAATAATATCCGTTTATACTTCAATGATAATTACCTGTGATTAATATAGTCTGCACTCTACCATACCTGTAATTAGGATTCTTCAATCCGAAGTGTGCAGGATTCAAATATTACTCAGAATTGACTCTATTACTCTGTTGAGGCAGAAAAGTAGCATGCTAAGGTTAAACCTATTTCATTTGATTGTTTAATTGTCTGATGAGGTGTCTCTAAAACCTAGGAATCAACCCTTTCTGCTGGATTCCCACCCACTCCAAACGCCTTTTTATCCAAAATTATTTATACAACGTGATTCAAGTCAGCACTGTCACTTCAATTACCTATAAGTATTGATGGTAGAGTATGCTTAAAGCACCCGATACCATTTCTTGTTTATTTTGTATGTACACATAGCTATCAGCTTCTATTGATATCTGTACTAATCCAAAGCTATCCCCGGTTCATTGGGTGCCCTGAAATACAGCTAGGGTGCTCAGCTAAACACTTTTATATTCTACAGCTAATCAGAAGCTATCAGCACTAAATACAGAATGGCCATCTTATCACCCAATTTAACTGATGGACAGGGAAATCAAATAAAGACGACTTTCTTATCTAAAATGTTTCAACATCTCCTTAATCCCCGTTAATTCTGATGTTTATGAGAAGTCTTATCACTCCTGATTATAGTCAAGTAAAAGTTACGACTGTCAGACGGTTTATAAAATGGAGGTTAATCAACCCAGGATCATGTAGGCCTATAGCTTGATCGAGCCAATAAATCAAGATCTGTCAAAAATATGAATAATTGTTTCAAAATGTACAGGACTGTAATGAAATGAAAAGATGATTTTTTCACTATATAGTGGTTTTGTTCTCACATTTGGACATGAAGGTTACATGTTTAACCTCCTTGTTGGCTTTCTCATCAGGGTTCTCCATTTTGTTTTTGCTTCCAAGTAGCAAGATATTGAAATGAAGAATTGTCATTTTATCTATCTCAAAATGAAAATGAAACTGAATTTCATGCCTTATTATTAATCAGTACTGAACGCTAATGGTATTGGATGTCTTAATGGCATTACATTCCCCAGGCAAAGGAGTGCACTGGGGCCCATACCTACACAATCACTCACAGGAATAAAAATGTAAATGGTCGATGGAATAAAACATATTTATTGTATTGGTATTTCCAACGAATCAGTGTTGAAACATTAAAAAACAAGCTGTACAGATTAGCATGGGGCCCAGGCATTAAGACGTCCTTGGATGTGTGGACAATGGTGCAAGTTACAAGACAAAAATTTGATTTGCAGTACTTTGATTTGCAGTATATATTGTATATCAGTATGAATCATTTTAAAAGAGCATCATGAACTATTTCTCTTTTAGAACAAATGTTTTATTTTTTTCCAACATGATTCTATGTAATTTGAATACAACAAATATTCAGTTTTCATTTTGATATTCATCCATCATTCTTTGTATTTTTCAGGCACGTACCAAGGTCAGTGGTTGCGAGGAACTCGTCATGGTTATGGTGTACGATCCAGCGTGCCTTACGGTCTGGCCTCCCATTACCGTCCTAAGAAGATTCGTGACTCCCTCACATCGCTCCGCAGTGAAAATGAGGATGAACAAGTTGTTAAAAACAGGGATAAGAAACTTGATGAAAGTCGTGGTGGTTTTGTTTTAAAAGCCAGAAGTGATGAAACACCTCCGAGTCGACGACGCTCCATCTTTGATAAACAGGGTCGATCTAGTTTACGTAAAACTTTAATGTCGGGTTTAAAATTAAAGAAACAGAAAAGTACAGGAGACATAAACGATTCCCCGAAACGACAAACAGGGTCCGTTCGCAGTACGATTAGTAATATTAGCCACGTGAGTGCTGATTCTACTCAGTCTGGAATGACCAACGCCTCAGTTTATACAGACAGTAATTTAAGTTTTGTTAGTCAAGACGACATAACAGATCTGAATGTGACTGAAACGTATATGGGAGAGTGGAAAAATGACAAGCGTTCGGGGTTCGGTATTAGTGAACGTTCGGACGGTTTAAAATATGAGGGAGAGTGGTATAACAATAAAAAATATGGATACGGTGTTACGAATTTCAAAGACGGCACGAAAGAGGAGGGAAAATATAAAAATAATGTTTTAATTTCTTCTGGAAAGAAAAATAAGTTATTCTTAATACGGACTTCTAAATTACGAGAAAGGGTGGATAATGCTCTATTATCAGCACAAAGAGCAGCACAAATAGCGCTTCAAAAAGCTGACATTGCCATTACCAGGTAAGTTGATAAAAATATATATTTACCGGCCTAATTAAGACATACAGTGCAGTGCTCACTCTGGGTTCCATTTTTCGCCACCATTTTAATCTACCTCTCCCCCACCACATCCCCCTCCAAAGTCTTTTTATGAATTTTTATTAGATTTTGAAGTACAAGACAAATGCAATCTGGGAAATACAGTTTGAAATTTTTTATAATGATTATTTCAATTCTCAAGACCCCAAGTCTACTACTGTCTAAGCAAACACTGCCTGGGCAAAATTCACCTCTGTAGCATTGTGTCCAAGACCACATGTTAGTCTCGTAATGGCCAGAGTTTTATGTTGACAAGGCGTTCATCTCCTATAACTGTTTCATGTTACCTAGCGTATGAGCGTTGTATCATAAGGTCTGTCATTGAGTCAACTAGCGTGGTTTCGATTCCCTGGTTATACGTGACAAGGAGTAGGGTTGCCATTCAAACCTTGTGAGTTTTTTCTGGGTCCTCCAGTTTCCGCCGGCTGCTCAAGACCCCTACGCACTAAAATAAAATTGAACCATATGTTAATCCCAAAATGACCTAGTTTGTGTTGAGTGGACATTAAACCCCATTTCTCTCTCTCTGTCTCGTTTAATGTTACCAGAAAATTGTTGACCGTTGAGTTCTTCTGTACCAGTTCGACCAAGATAACTTTATTTCCATAGGAATGCATGCAAAGCTAAAGTGATATTGAAATAATATTGAGCAACTATACAATATTCATTCTTCACCCAAAAATGCAGAGATCACACATTACATCTTCTACTCTATGAACGCGAGATATCTAGATGACGTCATTATAACATGTTTAAAATGTCAGGAGTATTGAGGTATGCACCTGAATGATATTTGACGCCTATGTACCACATGACGATAACATTTCCTCCACCTGATACTAATGAAAACGCCAAAAATATTTTCATTTAATTTGAAACCTCTTATGTTGATTTTATTAACATTCAGAGACCCCTATGATCTTCGTGATCTTCAGAAATAGGGAGTCATTTCCAAAATATCAGCAGACCTTCCTGGGTTTGATATTCTAACTGGTTTTAATGGTGTTATGTCAACAGAGGTTTGTTTGAAAAACATGAGGTGATTTGTTTAACCTTCAAACATATTCTTACATAAATGGCAGCTTGAAGGGAGCATCTGTTCCAGAAAATATATACTGAATTTAACATTGGATATCACTTTTTGGATGCAGAACGGAGGGCCTGACAAGGACAGCTGTCTAGTCCTTTGGATGAGACGAAAAACCGAGGTCCCGTGTAAACATTAGAAGGCACGTAAAAGATCTCTTGGCAGTTGGAATTCGATATAAGAGTAGGCGATAGTACCGCTGCCTGGGCAAAATTTCCCTAATAGCACACTATATGACCTATGCCCGTCTTCATTAGCCCAGCTTAGGAGCAGAACAGTATTTCATTTCATTTTATCACTTTTTAGACCTTTCTGAACAGAGTCATTAGGAAGCAGGGTCTGCCATGTTAACAGATACAAAAGGGAGGTCGATTTGTGGAAAATTCCTCTATCAGGAATTGTGGGAAAAGGTTAGGATTATCTACCCTACCTTTAACCTCAACCTCTATAGTGTCTAACAGGTATAAGCTACAAGTATATACTCATACCCCAAACCATATCAAATGTGTTGTTATTTTTTGTAGGTGACCAGAAGTAGGGCCATCTGTTCAACCTTGTGGCTTTTCTCAGGGTCATCCGGTTTCCTCCCACTGCTACAAAACCCCTGTGAACATGGGAGTTATTGAAATAAAATTAAACCATATGATAATCCTAAAATGACCTAATTTGTGTCAAGTAGATATTAAACCCTATATCTCTCTCTCACGCTCTCTCTCTCTCTCACTCTCTCTCACGCTCTCTCACTCTCTCTCTGTCTGTCTCCTGGTGTGGACAGTTCATTTGTAGCTTGAATCCACCGTTCGTGACTGTAACATGACCACGCTTGAAGAAACGTATGTACCGGGTTGTTGTAGACGGTATCAATCTTTTTCCATGTACATTTCTACAAATTAACGTGATTGGTTTCTTATAACATATTAAAACTGCGGTTCGTCATGTGAGGTATAGATCTCTCATCCAACTCAAGATTTACATTTAAGAAATAAAACTATTCAGATATGAAATCAAAAGAGGATAAACGTACCAGTACATTTACCCTGTGGCAAAAATCTTTCAGCATTTCATACCAGAACACATCACAAAAATACAACATCTTATAGATGGTATAGCCGAATAGGAAAATGGTCAAGAACCCATTTCCTGTATCAGTACAATAAGGCAATCGCAATTACATAATTATACGATGGAAAGATGTTCCATTCCATAATGATTAAAAGTAACTAAAGATTGTGAGTATAGTTTTGGCACCATACTAATGGTGTTTTATAATTTCTAAATTTAGGTCTAGCCAGGTATTTGTCTGGTGATTTAGTTTATAGGCTGAAATGAACTGATTTAACTTCTACCTAACTGATAAGTAATGGTTAAACTTCTAAGATATCCTTTGATATTGAGGTTATCGTTTGATAAATTAGCGATCAATTTTTAACTCTTTAATCTCCCGAGTATGGCACTAAAATCTCTTCACCTGTTCCTGTTGCCAAGTTACTCACCTTTTAAGTTCTAAAAATCTGTCAGATTATAAATCTGGTGGTGTATAGGCTTATTTACCTCAATATGGAGTATCGGCATAAACCTGTTGGTTACCATATAAGTTTTTACTCGGTGAGTATGATTCTGTCACACCCTGGTTTTCAAAGGTGGACTTGGACCTGAGTCTGACTTTAGTCACGCCAATGACCAGACTTGCCACTCGTCTTGAGATATTTATTGCGACTCGAGACTTGACTCAGCAGTCATGACAACTCGCGATTTGAAAGAGCTTAAGACTCAAGTCGCTGCGAGGGGGCATAACACTAACTTACCTTAATTGCCATGAATTGCTGACTCATTTAATGAACTAATGATTTGAATGGAGCACAGGCTTTGACTCGGTACTAAAGTCAGCGAGTTGGAACTCGACTCGAACCCGACGTGCAGCGACTTTGGACTCGACTCGGACTCCGGTTTTCTCCCACTGAGAAAGACCCCTACGCACAAGCGAATTATTTAAATAAAATTGAACCATATGTTAGTCCCGAAATGACCTAGTTTGTGTGAGTGGAAAACCTCATGGGTCTCTCTCTCTCTCTCTCTCTCTCTCATCATTAGCTTTGCTCAGTTGTATTTAAAACACACCTCCATCTTCCTCTAGTCACCTCCATTTTTCTAAATCTAGCACTCAGTTGCTATTATTTGAACCAACTGGGCTGATTTCTAATCGAGTTCCCGTTCACTTTCTAATATGATGATATTCTACAGTCTAGCTTCCTCAAATATGGCAGCCTATATTAAATGCTGAGGATCACTGATTTATGGATTCCCTCTGGGTATCTTAAAAAATGTAATATTTCACAAATTTAACCTGCTGTGTTGGTCATAGATGATTTGGATGCAATTTGTATATTAATGATAACCTCGTCTATGTTATGAAGTTTTTATGTCCAGTAGGTAACACATTAACGACTGACAAGGAATATGTAGACTATCTAGTCATATGGAATTCAAAGAAATGAATTGAAATGAAATGGGGTTTAACATCCCACCATTCTGAATACTGGTACTGCGGTAATGAAGACGGGCGTACACCTCTGCAGTGAACTATGAGGGGCCATTTTGCCCAGACAGTGGCGCTATGGCATATTCTTATTTTAAATTCCAATTGTCAAGGGTTGTTTTACATGCATACCAATGTGTACATAGGCCCTCAGTTTGTCATCCCATCTGAAGAACTACATGCTGTCCTCATCAGTCACTCCATCTGGCCCCATGACAAGGTGAAACCACGCTAGAAAATCCTGGATAACTTTCTCCGCCAAAACTGGGATTGAATCCAAGACTCCCTGGTTAGTGAGTGAGCACCTGACTCACTTAGCCACCGCAGCTCCCAGTTATATCACGATATGACAATAAATTTGGATATTTTACTAACATATTCAGTAGTCGGCAAATTACCTGTTATTTCCTGTCATTCATAAAACATGGCAATATTATTACAAACTCGTATTTTTTCACGTATCAAGGATGGATGGATTCCAGATGAGTATTTATTAGATTAAATGCTGAACATGGCTCCCTGCAATTAAAAACAAAGTAGTTGGGAAGATCTCTTTCCAAGAAATGTTTTCCAGTATTCATTGCACGCATGGCTATAGAAATAAATAAAAAAACACTATGTTAGTCTCAACTCCAGTATTGTATAGGAGAGTTGAATCTCATTCCTCTCTATTACATTTTTGGCTTCAAAATGAAAATTTAATTCTTAGAACCATATTTAGATTTTTGTAGAGGATGGGCATCAAATTTATATCAATTTCACCAATAACCATGGTTAATTCACTTCAAATAAATATGTTTACCCAAGGTCAAGAACGTTGACATCACAAAGGCTTAAATGTTCCTGCAAATCAATATTTATAAAAATATCAACCAATTTATTAATCCATATTTAACAGCATTCATGTTTTATCATTTCGTTGAGAATGTCATATCATTCACCTATTAAGTCATAAATAAAAAAAACTAGTATAATCTCGACCAAACATATATAGTCACAATCTACCAGTATCGGGTATAAAAGTGATAATCTACACAGCTTAGTTTTTCTTAGTCTCAGCCTTTTAATTCCATTCTTCTGGTTGCTATGGAGGCACGAGGCTGAAGCCAGGCAGCTGGATTCTTCAGAGATCATTGAATGTATTTAATGGTATAGTCTGTTTCTGGTACATGACATGAAGGCAATAGCCAATATCTTCAATTGATTGTGCTTCTTGTACCACTTCTCAAACAAATATATTGTGCTTCAACCATAGGGGTGAAAAATACTGGGATCATGCTAGGGAGGATATGAAATGAA